CCAAAGCTTTTTAACATTTTTAAATGTTCACTGATACTTTTTTTTATTTTACTTTTTATATTATTAGATTTATTTATTTATACAAGAACTGGGGTACAGGTCAGAGACACGGGAGGGTGAGAGAATTCACCAGAGACATAGCGGGGAACAGAACAGGCAGACTGATGAAATATACTGCTGAGGGGAGCAGTGGGCAAGACAGGAGAAGTCTGCTGTGCCATGTTGGGGATCTCCCTGGCCGGCCGGGAATCGAACCCCCACTGCAGAGGCTGTGGACAACTTCACAGCGCTGCACTCAACCCGCTGCACTCAACCCGCTGTGTCACTGGGGAGACCCTTGTTTGTTTGTTTTTAAAGATTTATTTTTATTTTATTTATACAAGAGCTGGGGTACAGGCCAGATGTGTGGGCGGGTGAGAGGATTCACCAGACACAGAGTGGAGAACAGAACATTCAGAATGACTGAAATACACTGCTGAGGGGAGCAGCAGGCGAGACAGAAAAGGTCTGCTGTGCCATGTGGGTTGCTCCACAGCTGGTGGGGATCAAATGAGCACTGCAGAGTCTGTGGACAGCTTCACAGCGCTGCGCTCAACCGTCTGCGCCACCAGGGAGGCCCTAGATACTTTTTTGTTAAACAGAGTAACCCCTTAGTCCAAGTGTGATTTTCACAAAGTTAAATAAAATGTCTCTCATACAAATATAAAATGAACACTTATCCAAGATTTATTCAACTCTTTAATGAGGGAGCCAGTTGTGTGTGAAACTGGTTCAATGGAGAACTGAAGGAGTGGGTGATAAAGGCATTCATCCCAGGAAGAATGTCAGAATGAGATGCCAGGCTTAGATATAAAACTGATTAGCAGTCTAGCAGGCCCATAAAACTGGACAGAAATATACGCATCTCTACTGGATAAGAATCTACAAGTTACCATTCCTTTCTAAGTCTGGACCTTTTTTCACTAGGAAAGAGCTTGTCAAACTCAGCTCAGTGCCCTGGGTGATGCAGTGGCCTGTGGGAGCTTTTCCTGCTCCCATGTGACATTGGCAGAACATGCTTCTCTCCTTTACCTCATTTCAAGTTTTGGATCATTTTCTTAATATCTTAAGCGAGCCTCCGCTTGTATGAGGAAACTGGAGGAGTCAAATCCACAGACACCAGAAGTAGAATGGTCATTGCCAGTGGTTGAGGGAGGGAGAGGACAGGGAGCTGTTGTTTGATGGGTACAGTTTCCATTTTGCAAGACCTGGAGTGTTATGTGGATGGACAAGGTGATGGTCACATGACAATGCTGTCAGTGTTAAAAATGGCTAAAGTGGTAAATTTTATGTTAACGTGTATTCACCACAATAGGTAATTTTGTGCATATACTGACAGGTAGGAATGTGAAGATAATCATTCTTCATCCTGCTGAGATATCCAGTTTAGTAACCTTAATTTGCATTAACTCAGACCTCCCCGGTGGCGCAGCAGTTGAGCGCTGCGTTGCGAAGCTGCCCGCAGCCTCTGCAGCACTGGTTCGATCCCCGGCTGCTCCCCAGCCACCGGAGGAGGGTCCCACATGGTGCGCAGACCTCTCCTGCCACCCGCTGCTCCCCTCAGCAGTGTACTTCGGTCCTTCTGCCTGCTCTGCTCCCCGCTCTGGCTCTGGTGAATTCTCTCACCCTCCCGCGCTTCTGACTGTACCCAGTGCATGTATAAATAAATAAATACATCTTTTTTAAAAAAATTGTATTAACTCACTTTTCCTGTCCACAGAGATTTCAGCAAACTTTGGAAATGGAATTATTAAAATCCTTTACTCTGTGATTTAAGTTCTTTTCCCTTGATGATATACTATGGACAGGCCTCTGGGGTGTACGTCCTGATCTCCATGGAGGGGGCCATAGACACGACAACTTATTCACTCTTGCATTATTGATGCATCCTGGGTCATTTCCAAGACTTTGGGTTGCTTTGATTTTGGGGTTTGTTTTATTATAACAAACACTATCATAATAAAATCGCTGTGATACAAAAGAGTAACACTGAAGGCCTGCGCTTGAGTAGTGACATAACCGGGAAGGCAGAGGAGGCACTGGGTCAAAGAAACATTTTTCTGGGAAAATACGTTAGAATTAGTGGAAAATTTGGTTGACTTTTTTTGGTGTAAGAGTGAGAAAATGGGGCCCCCCTGCTGGTGCAAGTGTTTGAGTCTCAGCACTATGAAGCTATCAGCAGCCATGAGTTTGATCCCTGGCCAGGGAGCTGACCCACATGACGCAGCAGACCTCTCCTGTCTCATCTTCTGCTCCCCTCAGCAGTGTATTTCAGTCAGTCTGCCTGTCCTGGTCCCCACTCTGTCTCTGGTGAATCCTCTTAAACCGCCTACCCCGCCCCCCGCCGCAACTCTGGCCTAGACCCCAGCTCTTGTATGTATAAATAAATAAAAATAAATCTTTAAAAAAAAGTGAGAAAATGACTAGAGCTTCCATTTTGCTAAAAGAGGGAATAAAAGAAGAGCAGTAGTTATGGGGGAAGGTAGAGGAGCCAGGAAGGGAAGGTTGTTTTGAAAATTCTACCTTTGAGATGAGACTACTGTCTATACATAGCAGGCAGCTGAAAAAGAAGGGTCTAAGGCTTGGGGAAGACCCCACTGGTGGAGACGCTGATTTGCATAAAGTCATCAATGATGCCATGACAGCGCTGGAGCAAATACGAGGAATCACTAAAACATTTAGGATTAACTTTGAAGCTGTATCAATAATCTGTATTAGCAGAAGATTGTTACCACTTGTAACGGGTAGGTTGTAACCTACCCCATTGCTAGCATATCTTTTTATAAAGGATCTGTGAAATTTTTATTTTTATTTTTTTATTATTTATTTATTTATTTATTTATACAAGCACTGGGTACAGTCAGAAGTGCAGGAGGGTGAGAGAATTCACCAGAGCCAGAGCGGGGAGCAGAGCAGGCAGAAGGACCGAAGTACACTGCTGAGGGGAGCAGCGGGCGGCAGGAGAGGTCTGCGGCATGCGGGACCCTCCTCCAGTGGCCGGGGAGCAGCCGGGGATAGAACCGGCGCTGCAGAGGCCACGGGCAGCTTTGCAACCCAGCCCTCAACTGCTGTACCACCAGGGAGGCCCGATTTGTGAAATTTTTAAACCTACCCTAGGAGCTTCCTTGCAGGAAAGAATAAAGGAAATATTCATAGTCCTCCATATGCATTATTTTGTCACTCTGAGAAATACTTAAATTTGCAAGAGTAACTGAGTCATCACAACTACTGCTGATGTCACTAAGGAGTGACACTGGGCGGAGCACACCAAGTTGGAGGCTGGATTCAAATTAAATCAAAAAACGTATTCCCGGTACTACCATAGAGACCATGGTTGTAGGTTCCTGAAGAGAAATCAAAGAAAATAAAGATGAGGACTCTTACCCATAAAGGTCTTTGTCATCTTGTGGCAAAATATATTTAGAAACACATTGAAGACAAGTCTTGAAGGTTCTCCATGACCCCTGGGAATGGGTGAACCCGTTTATTGCTGTTGAAGGAATTTGCTGGCAGAGTGAGGCTCGTCCATAACTGAACCCCTCGACCTGTGGGACCCATTTAGTGAGGAGGAAGCAGGTGTGAAAACAGTGGGAACACTAGCAGATTAGGGAAGGCAGCAGGTGGCAGATGAGCTGTTTTCCAGGTAATGCAATCACAGTGGTATTTATAGGGGGGGTCATTGCAGGCATGATGGACTCCGGCCATCCTCTTGAATTACTTAATTGTAAATTGCAGAGAAGGAGGTCGTGACTGTGGAGTGTTTAGATAAACAAATACTGACGAATCCACAGTGGAAAAGTTGTGGGTTGGATATCCTTGGTAGTTTGCGATTATTAATAGTAAAGACTGCTGCGGGTGGGGGAGTGGTTGTCTCCATCAGAAGCTGCTCAGCACTAGTTCATCTAGCGGGATTAATGAGTCATGGGAAGAAACCACAGGACCCCTGGAAGCATTCTAGCAGGTCCTTAGAAAGGTAACTTAGTGGTTGAACTTAACCTCCTCCCTGCCCAGCCGAGTGCCTATTCCAGCTACTTGCTGGAATAATCGAGAAGAATCCTGGATTCTTTGCTAAGGCCCTTAATTGTATGGGAGTCCCACAGTCTTGGGCATTGAGAGGTTAAAGCATGAAGATTTCCAGTCTTGGCTGCAGCTCTCTAGACACTTGGCAGTGGAGAGTCTTTGCTCTGCCTTAGGCTTTGTTTTTGGACAAGTTACTATCTCTGCTCCGGTCTCGTCTGAACATGTCAATCCCGCCCAAGTCCCTGGCATCCCAGGACCTCCTCTTTCCACCATCGTCACCATCAGCATCCTCCACAGCTACACAGCTTGGGAAAAGGCACTGAAACCCAGGCTCAGCAGAGTGCCCGCTTTTGCAGGCACTGAGGTCCTGAAGGACAGTTTCTCTTGAACGTGTTCCTTTCCTTTACTCTCTTGTCTGTTCATTTTTCTCTCTTTATAAGCTGTAAATAATTGGCTTATTGACCACATAAAGAGACAATGAAACATCTGAATTTTTCATAGCTGTGAGAAAGAATTTCCAAAGCTTGGGGGAAAAAACAGACATTGGACATTTCAGATACTGCTTTGGTTTAGTAGGATTTATTCCTCAGCTCTGTTACAGTCTTGACCCAAACCCAGCAGTTATATGGGCAGTGGGCACCTTCCCTAGTTAGTCCTGCCAGGATATCTCTGTTCATATTTGTGACAGCGTGAACCCAGGGTATCTCTCCATCAAAGCCTATTTATCTCTGAATCTCAGACATACCACAGAAGCCATTGAGACCTAGCCAGTGGATTTTACTTGTATGAGATATTGCATAGCTCCCAGAGGGAGGGAACTCACACAGCCCACAATAAACAGCTCTTTGTACTGACCCCTCTGCACCCCCAGCTGCTGAGCTCATGGAGCACTGAGCGGCTTGCAGCCCAGATGACAGGCAGATGTGCCCTTGTCTCCACAGTGTGCGGCTGCGACCTGGCCCAAGGAGGCTTCTTCATCAAGAACGGGGAGTACCTGTGCACCCTGGACTACCAGCGGATGTACGGGACACGCTGCCATGGCTGCGGGGAGTTCGTGGAGGGAGAGGTGGTGACTGCCTTGGGCAAGACCTACCACCCCAACTGCTTTGCTTGTACCATCTGCAAGTAAGTGATGACTTCCTCCAACAGACACACACTGCTGACAAAGCCCGGGAGCTACGCCTTTTGTCTTGGCTTGTCCTTCGTCCTAAAGGCCTCTTTTTTGATGCTTTTTACCTTCCTTCTGTATAATCACTCTTAGTCTAAAGGCAGTTTGGTTGGGAAACTTTATACCTTATGTCCTTTACTAAATAGTGTTTGGAGCTAATCAGAAGCTTATTCAGACTTGAGTGAAGAGTGTGAAGCAGTATTATTTCTTAGATACCACCAGCTGCTGCACTGATGGCTTCTAGCAGGCAGCCACAGGCCCTTTGCAGTGGTTGAGTGTCCTGTGCAGACCAGAGGAGGGGTTTTGTTATTTCTCAACATTTCATGTTTCTAGGCCAGAGAGATGTAAACTCTAGAATATATTTAATTTTGTATAAGTAACAAAATAATACTGATAGGTAAATCATCATAAGATTTTTTTTTAAAGATTTATTTATTTATTTATACAAGCACTGGGTACAGTCAGAAGCGCGGGAGGGTGAGAGAATTCGCCAGAGCAGGGAACAGAACAGGCAGAAGGACCGAAGCACACTGCTGAGGGGAGCAGTGGGCGTGGCAGGAGAGGTCTTTGCCATGTGGCACCCTCACCGGTGGCCGGGGATCGAACTGGCGCTGCAGAGGCTGCAGGCAGCTTCACAGCCCAGCTCTCAACCGCTGCGCTACCAGGGGAGGCCAAATCATCATAAGATTTAGATGCAATATCCTTAATAAAATTGTTTTAATAATTTTTTTAGCTATTAGTCCATCTCTCAATGTTCTTTTTGTTTTTTAACCATAATTTTAAAATTCTGGATTAATGAGCTGAAAATTTTTCTGCAGCTAATCAAAAGCAGTTTCCTCTTCCCTTGTCTTTATTAGGCTATGGCCCCATGAGCTACCCATCCCCCTCACCCCCCAACCCCCTGGCCAGTACATTCAGGAGACCTGAGTTCTAATCCTGCTTTCCAGGCTGACTTGAGAACTGTGTGAATTGACTTTTCCAAGGTAGTTGCCTCATCTGTAAAATAAGAGATCATGGATTAGGTTTGAGTAATTCTCCAAACCTGGAAGGTCACTGGAATCCTCTGGGGAAGGTCTCTTAAGCCTTTCCTAGCCTCCTCTCCTCCCCTGGCCAATGTGCGTGCCGATTTAGTTGTTTCTGGAAGATGCCTAGGTTATGGTGTGTTCAGCCATTGGGAGGTTCTGGCCCAAGTCAATTCTGATGCTGACCTTGAGAGATCATTATTTTAATATAGGTAACATTGGCTTTAATTGGACAATGGACGAATGTTTATTAACAATAGCCATGTCCTGAATGTTCGCACCACCACAGAAGTGCTCGCCAGTGCCGTTGCAGCCCAGCTGCACACACGATGTGCTTTCTGCCTGAAATGTGGCCTCTTATCCCTTTACAAGTGCATTCATGCAGAATTTAATTTACCCTCCTAGCAATTCTGTGAAGGCAGTTATGAACCAATACCCCTACTTAGGAGTGACTCTGAGTCTCAGTTTAAGGGACTTTCCTAGTTTCTAATGCTGCAAGGCTAAAATATAAACTCAGCTGATCTCACTTCAAGTCTGGTTTGCTTTCTATTACAGACATTCATGCAAATAACAGAAGGGTGTGAGCCTTGAGGATAGAGGACATAAGGAATGGAGAAAGTACTAAAAAGGGTCCTTTATAAAAGAATGAAATTCAGAGTTTAAAAGACATGGCTTGTATTGAGAACTGGACTCTGGCTGGTGCTATGGTAGATCTGTGGGGGATTCAAGTTAAGAATATAAGACTAGATCAGCGGACAGGCCTGGACTAGGTGCCATTTATAGGGGCACACACTCTCCTAGGGGCGCCCTTAGAGGCTCAGCTCCTGAGAGTTAAGTTCTCCTTAAATGTTGAGCCCCAAATTCCTGCTGGCCTGGCCCTAGTCCTGGCCCTCTCCAGAGGCTAAGAAGCTGAGCTTATGCTTATGGACCCTAAACCCCTGATATCCAAAGCAGACTGGAGGCTCATTCAGGCTTGAGTAATGAATGTGAAGCTGTATTATTGCTTAGATTCCATCAGGGTGACCTGGGTTACTAAAGTATCCCTAGCTGGCCAGTCCAGGCAACTTCACCTCTCTGGGCCTTATCTGAATGACAGAAAGTGACCCAGCACCATGAAAGAAAAGGGAGAATCCTCGCTCTAGCATTCCCATAATCAGGGGTGGAAGAGGGTTACACTGTCCTCGAAGTCAGACACCAAGCACATGTTTAAAACCATTTCAAGTCCAAATTTTCCACCTCTGTGTGTATTACAGTGAATTATAACTCAGGGGCAGGGGAAGGGCCACTTAAAGCAGTGGCAGTTGTGAAAGCAAAGCTCCTAACCAGAAACTGGAATTTGTTTTCCAGTAATTGCTTCTGACTCAGCTGTGTGGGGATGTTTTGCTTGAGAGTTTACATTTCCTAATGGACAGAATCACACATTTGAAAACTCACACTGATGAGGATTTTTGTCAAGTTGGTCAATTGCAAGTAAGCAGGCCTGGGAGCTGTCCTAAGTCTATTAATAAATAATTGTTTTTTGAAAGGCTATCTGCCCACTCAACTAGGAGAAGAAACTGACAACATACAGAAGGCACTATTTTTGCAGAATGTGCTGTTATTGATGACAGTTTTATAATCGTTTTGGAAAGCAGCTAATACTCAGTTTTAAACAGGTGTTTCCAGCATTGTCCTGTCTCCCGAGTCTATAAGAGGCTGGGTCACTGGCACTGTGAACTTCCAGTTCACCCATTGTGAGTTGTCACCTAGTGCAGCCCCAGGGAGCTGAAAGAGTTAATGCTTAACTGGTAGCCAGCTCTCTTGGGGAGGGGCCTTCAGCTTGAAGAGGAATTTATGGCATTTAAAATGTTTCTTCATGAAGGCTGTTCCATTTGGAAAGTTTGACTGTGTGTGCGCCTGCTAGGTGACTTGTTGAAACATCGCTCCACTAACGAGCAGAGGTAAATCGTTCCGCTTTACCATCTGGTTGCCTGTGGAAGCAGCACATTCTCGCTTCTTCTCAAAATAAGGCATGTTTATTTGTTTGGACTATGTCCAGCTGGCTGGCTTGCTTATGACTGCATTTCAGACATGTTGGCTGGTGCCCCTCCAAGAAATGAACTGGCCCCGGAGGGCAGCAGGCAGAAGGTGGAAGGGGCAGGAAGGAGGTGGCTGGGAATGACCTTGCGAGCCGTGTCTTTCTATCCACAGGCGCCCATTTCCACCCGGAGACCGAGTCACGTTCAATGGGAGAGACTGCCTGTGTCAGCTCTGTGCACAGCCGATGGCCTCCAGCCCCCGAGAAGCCTCCTGCTCTGGCAGTAAGTGCACAGCCACCCGCCGACACGAGTCCTTCCCACCCAAAGGTGGCCTAGGCAGGGGCCTCTCTTTGTGAGAGAACGTGTTAGCCAGAGCCAAGGACAGTATGGTCCAAGGCATTTTTAACTGTGGAATGTGCTTGTGTAGAGAAGCCTTCCCCAAAAGCCATGCAGCAGGCCAAGAACCAGGAAGCATCTCCCTTATTTCAAAAAAACACCAATAGAATTTGACACCAGACTGTGCATTTTGAGTCTGTGAAGAGAAAGGCATAAAACTTTGCATAAGAAACACCCATCTCTGGTCACAGAGGCTCATGGTGATGATGCGATTCTCTGGGTATTTACATCTTTTTTTTTTTTTTTTTATAGAGGCATGTTTTTTATTTATTTATTTATTTGTTTGTTTGTTTTGTTTATACATGCACTGGGTACAGTCAGAAGCGCGGGAGGGCGAGAGAACCCACCTCTCTGGGTATTTAAAAAGCTGTCCCCACTGCCTGGGGCAGATGTGGTCGTTGATACTTAAATAATCCTTTATTATATATTGCCCTAATTCACCTGGAGGGTTTCTGACATTTATTCATTGCACATACAAATTGCTGAGCACCTGCCATGTGTTTTGTTGACCCTGGAGATCTGTGAACAGAAACTCCTTGGCATCCTAAGGAAGTTTGCTTTCTAATGGGAGTGGATAGACAATAAATGCAAAGGTGAAATTGTCTATTGTGTGAAGAATAGTAGGAAATAAAATCAGAGTAGAGGGACTGCATTTACACGGGGCATTCAAGGGCAACCTCTCTTTAAAGGTGTCCCCTAGGCAGAGCTCTGAAGAAAGGGTTAGAACAAGCTGTACTATGTCATGGGATTCGTAATTCTTCAGGCAAAGTCTTGTCTGACCTGTGGGCTCCAAAGGGTACCAACTTCCCCCCATTAAAGTCTTGGCCAATTGCACTATTTCTTCTAGTAAATAATATCACAAAGTCACTTGACATTTCAATGAGATGTATTCCTAGCAAGTAGAAAAGGGGTGAGTTTACCTTTGTTTTTTTATGGATTTTGCTAGTCCTTGGGAAACCTGGAACAAACCCTTTTAAGCCCTGCTAGTCTCTGTAGGAAAGAATAAGCTAAATCACTTCTGCTCCAGAAGAATCCTGCATGATTCCTAACAGTGATTCCAAATCTTCCTGTTAAAAGTAGAAGAATCCTTATACCTGTAAAAAATATGAATGTTCTGACTAAAGCATTTGCATGGAAATTGAATTTTGGCTATTGGGAAATCAATGTACTTGTCTGTCTTATTCCAAGCAGACCCTTAGCGTGTAGATTGATATGCCCTGCTGAGAGCCCCCAGGCAGCCAAGTGTTCCCCTAAAGGAAGGCACAGCCCAAGACCCTAGTAGGCATTCATATCCTTCACTGTTCTTCTCTACCCCACCCGGAGCAGCTCGCTGGGAAGGTCACCCTGCTGTTTGGAGGGTTTGCTTTGAAAATGTATTACCAAGAACTCTGGAGAAATGCTTCGCTCTAGTTAACAAAGGATAATTTCATGAATCCCAGGAGTGGCTGATGGTTGTACCAGAGAATCATGTCCATGGGTCTGTAATAGAAATGGCTACATCCTCAAATTCTTCGGGGTCCTTTAGTCCAACTCTCTTTCTTGATAGGTGGGGAAACTGAGGCTATACTCAAGATCAACCAAGATATCAAATAATAAGATGGGACTAATGTGGGCTTTTTGAATCCAGCTGTTGGCTCTCTGTTTTGTTTTATTGAACATTCCTCATTGTTTGCATTAAACACCAGAAGTGGAATATTTTTAAAGTCTTCCAGACTGCTCTGTTTATGCAATTTGGGAACATGTTTCCACGCCATAGCTCTACTGAAATGGTTACTCTAGAGATTATTAAATATTTTTTGCTTTTTCTATATTTTCCATTTTCATATGACAGATATATTATGCACAAAAAATAACAATTTTAAGTGTGAAAATATATCCTACTCAAATCCATTACCTTTCTAATGCAAAATTTAACAATTATTACTTATGTGGACTAAATCATATTTTCTCCTTTGCTCCTGATGAGTGAAATCCCATTTCTATTAGCTGTTTCTGTCAGAACATTTTTTATTTCCCACAAGCTCTTGTCTATTTCAATAAATACGCAAATAGCATTTATGGGGCATGTGGGTGTGGGTGTCTGTAAAAAATAAAGTTCTTATATATGGACACACATATGCAAAATACCCAAAAGAGGCAGGCACACGGATATTAGTGCAAGAGAATTTTCAGCAAGTTTCTGAAGTTCATTGGTACATAATTAGAAAACACTGGGTTGTTAATTGCACTTCTTTGAGAATTCCCCGATACCTTAAAACTCTCTTGATAAATAACTTCCATTCCTATTTTTTTTTAATTAACTTGGCAAAATTTCCTAAATAAAAGCAAAAAAGTGAAATTCTTCTTTGATAATGTTTACAGAGTTGATGAAATATATCAGAGAACCAAGGTCCTCCATTTCCCTTGGAATGTTGTTTGAAAACAAGTTTGCTCTTCTGAACCAGGGTTTCTTTCATTTGACATTCAGTGGCTGGTTTGCTATCATCCCTGAAAGTAGATGAGGACAATATGAGATGGAGGGGAGAAACACAGAATGACAAATGAGTAAAATTAACTATTCAGTGAGAATTTGCGCAGAATCGTCCCAGTTTCTACTGCAACTTCTCAGCCTGCCCTGTCTCAATTGGGACCCTATGCTATGCTGCTCAGTGCCATCTTGTGATAATTCTTATAACTTTTATATCTATTTTCTTTAACATCCACAGGGTACTCGCTGTATCAGTCACAGCCTAACTTGTCTACCAATCTTAATGCATTTAATCACACTAGTACTAACACTAACCCCTTATTACAGATGAAGAAACAAAGGATCATAGAGGTTAAATAAAATGCCAGGATTCTATAGAAGGAAGTGATGAACTGGGATACTCCCCAGGCTGTCTGGCTCCAGTGCCCTGCTACCTCTCTGATATTTATCTTGTGATGTAGGTATCACACTCTGATTTGTAAAGATAGGGGAGCTGGCTTTGCAGCAGCGACCCACATGTTTGCAGATCTGAGTGTCCTACCTCCAAACCACCAGTGCCTTCATGTTGTAGCCAGGCCTGGTGAAGGGAAACCATCAGGAAGTTCTCATAGAAGCAAATTACTTCAATTAAAGATTATTGCCCCTGAATTACTGAGAGCTGTTGCTGCATCCAGTCTAATGTAATTTGAATTCAGTAAGCAAACAATTACCTAACATGGAGGTAAGGGTAAAACTTACCACACAGGGTTGTGATGGACATTAATTAAACTGCTTTTACTATTAATGAAAAGACCAATTGCCTGTGTCTGGTTCCTCTACACTTTAAGAATAAAAATGTCAGTCCAGAACACAACATGCTGTTCTAGAAGGTTACGTACACTCCTCTAAAGTTTAATTCTGTTCTTCACGTATTTGCTAGTACCTGAGGAGCTAGATCCCATGGGTTGGGTTGCTGTGTGTGTGTGTGGGGGGGGGATGATCTGTGTGTGGCAGCCTCGAGCGTTGGGAATCTGGGTTGTGGTTTCCTACACACCCCTGTCTATTTCAGGCTCCTGAGCAGGAGTGGGCTGCTGTCTACAGCACCCTTTCATCTCAGAGGCGTCTGACTGGTGTCTGATTAGGTGTGGGCTTGCTGGATCGGTGCAGTGAACACCCCCACACCCATATATCCAAACCATCTCCCTTGCGCCCCACCTCTCCCCCAGCGTTGTCATTATTCCAACTACAATTAGAACTCCTACAGGTACGGGGCAAATGCTCTGCTAGGACTGAATTTAAATCATTTCAGATAAAGATTCATGTGCATGTTTTTAAGGGGGAGGAAGAATTTTTCAGTTATTTTACTTACCTGTTTGGTGCAATAGCTTTTAACAGTGGCAAGATAATTTTTTTTTTATCATCATGTTCTCTCTGAAAGAACCACCTGGAGTGGAGTGGGACTTGGGTGCTGAGACACTAACAATCTGTGCATCCACCGTGATGTGACACTGGCGTCTGACTGGCCTGGGTCAGGTCCTGGCTCTGCCCCTGACTAGGATTCTCTTTCTCTCTCCATCCTCCATCTTCTCGTCCATAAAATGGGATGGTTGCAGCTACTACTTTGTAGGACTCAATGAGTAAATAGATCAGTACTCTGTGTGCTTATGAAACAATAACCTACTGTTCACACACCGATTTCTGCATTGTTCTGTAAGACTGTCCCTGCATCCTGTCACTCTGCCCTTTTCACTCCCCTGCTGGCGATAGTCATCATTACCCACTCATTTGATATTATCCGCTAACACATAGAACAGCGAAGGCAGGGACAAAGTGACACTTGTAAGACCACCTCAAAGAAAGACTATTCATTAATTCAAAAAGGGTCCTTTCATTCTAGGCACCAAATTCTTCATTGCACAGTTAATATAATATATTCCTATGATAACTTTTGTCACAGCTAAGAAGAATTGGTACGTAACCCATTGCATTTTAATTGCTTAGATGAGTGCCCACCTCCACTATCAAGATAATAAACTCGGGCCTCCCCGGTAGCGCAGCAGTTGAGTGCTGGATTCAAAGTTGCCCGCAGCCTCTGCAGCACCAGTTTGATCCCCGGCCGCCGGGCCAGGGTCCCACATAGCGTGCAGACCTCTCCTGCCGCCCGCTGCTCCCCTCAGCAGTGTACTTCGTCAGTCTACCTGTTCTGTTCCCTGCTCTGGCTCTGGTGAAGTCTCACACCCTCCCGCGCTTCTGACTGTACCCAGTGCTTGTATAAATAAATGAACCTTTAAAAAAAGATAATAAACTCATTAAATGTAAAGACCCCATGATCTTTCTCTAGGTTTAACACAGAAAGCCCTAGATAAACACTCTGAAAACTGAATCAAAGCCATCTGGCTCTCTAAACTGGATTAATTATAATCTACCCTTTTAAATGGGT